TATATTAGAAATCAATATCTCTAGAAAATGTGCCATAATATTTTATTTTATCTTGAATATTGTTTATTAACATTATACTAGTATCTCTTCTCGATACGAATTAAAAGATTTAACGGATTGGCTATTAAACTATAAGATTGTTCAATCTTACTAGATAAGGCAATATATATATAAGTTAAGGAAACCTTAATTTAGTTAATATCTTTGATTTATACTAATTATAAATGAGTGAATTCTGGATTGCTCTATTTTTACATCCATCATTTAACACAATCTTTTTTGAACAATTTTATATAAAAGAGATCTATTATAAATGATTAAAAATGTCATTTAATTGATAAATTTGTATATCCTTGTCATGATATTGTTTTTCATATATAAAGCAGTTAACTATATGTAATTGATCTATTCCAATCTAGTTTTGATTCACAATCAAGAGTTAATATCTACTATTTACTATATTATCCATAATTTTAAATTAATGTTGAATAATTACCAAAAATATACATATAATATATATAAAATATGGAAAATTAATGGTTTGTCTCATAAAAATGCTAGAATTACACTTTTTATTATCATATTAGATTTTCGACTTAAAACTATTGAAATACATTATATTACATTTCAAATCTATAACTACATACAAACACTCAGGTTGGAAAAACATAGACTCTTTTGATCTTTTATAATTATATAATTTTTTATTTTCTTATATTATCTTATTTACTTCACATAATATATAACTCCATAGTATATGTAATTAAATTTTAACCTTGATTTTATTACAAATTCTGTTATCATGAATATGCGCAATCAAAACATATTAATATAGAGTTTTGAACTAATTCAATATTGTGTAATGGATCAAAACAACAAATTATATAAAATATTACAGATTTACATTGTAAATCAATATAATCAAATTATATAATCTTATATAAAAAACAAAGATCCTTCATCTGCTTAGATCTAATAACTTCAAGGTATACCCTGATTAATTGCATACATAGAATTTAACAAAAACAAATATTTCATATTCCTGGAGGTCTATCGTCATGATCGGAACGATTTTCGGGAAAAACATCAAAAGACGATTATTTTTCGGGAAAAACGTTTCTTCCCAATATTTGTCACAAACATTAGATTATTAAAATATATGTTGGATATCCCTTAGTATGAGACTTCATGACTCTTGTTGTCTAACGTGAGCTTTGGATTGCAAGCTCTGTGGTGAACGAACATAAATTAATTGTAAAGTTTTCAAAAATTTTCATCGTTTCTATCAGCATCTATTTTTCCTTTAAAATAATATATTTGTATGAATACAATATTTAGTAATTTTTTTATTTCCCATAATTTCATTCAAAATTTCAGAAAAAATTAATTTCTATTCAATATTATTTCAGCTTCAAAAAGTTAGTACACCTATCTTGGGTACGGAGGCACTGCGCGCCTCCTTACCCATTATATGTGAATTTGACACTTTACGAAACCGTTAACGTATATTTTACAACACAAACGACAACACTAACTTAACCTTAAATATTTACAAAGCCGCCAGCCATTTCACCTCACTAACGAACTCACTAATGAAAAAATAAACGTTCTCATAAATTTCTTCTATATCTTCATCGTCAATGTTAACTCTATTGTAGTCATACTTGAAGTCATAAAGTTTCTCAAGTTTTGAAATGCATAGTCTTGTTAACTTACCTTCATCATCATAAGTTTTTATAAAACTACCATGACAATCTTTATACACAGTCAATGTATAATCTACTGGTCTAGGATGAAGTGTAAAGAACATGTTATACTCAGGAAGGAAGAATAAATGTTTAAATGTATGTTTGTTATATTTTTCGATTTGTATGAGTTGCTTTTGTTCTGTCATTTATATAAAAATAAAATAAAAAATAAACTTAAAAATTAATGATATCACCACCCTCACACGTATGAAAACATAGCACAAAAATATATTTAGGTGAAGTGGTGAGATCTCACCTCTTTTTTCACCTGTTTTTTCACCCTGTTGAATTCATTGCTTTATAACTCTCTTCCTTGGTTTCTTTTTAGTTGCTTTCTTCACGTCTGTCTCCAGCTTGACTGTCTTTCTTCTTCGTCCATAATGATACCAATTACTTCCACCAGTCAATGGGTCAAATGGTCTTTCGTAAGGGTTTCCATACATTCCATAGGGACCATACGGAAGAACTACTGGTGGAGAAGAAACATTTTCTTTAGTTCCATCGAATCTATTTAAATGCATTGTTTCACCTTTCATCTGGTCATTAAAGTCTTTTGCGTGTTTTGCAAACTCATCGTCCTTTCCTAAAGCATTTTCTGACTCAGTCGCAACCAAATTGGATGCTTTATTTATGAGCCCTATTTTATTTAATCTTAACTTCTTTGCAACCCAGCCTCCAATCTTTCCTTTATTTGCATCTAATGTCTTCGAAACTCTTCCTCCACTCATTTTATTTACTGCGTCATAAGCTCCAAGTGCTTTTGCTCCAAATGCTAATGCTTTTGTTCCCATTGCGCCTAAAGCTGCCCAAGCTACCATTTACACCATATTAAAATCATCTCTCTTCAATATTATCTCATAAAAGTTCTCGTTACTGGAGAAAGTCAATGAAACATAAGCGTTCTCACGGGCTTCGCCCTCACCGCTTTGCAGTCTATCTAACTTATTTCTTATATCATCTATACGCTTCAAAATGTCTGAACAATTGCTAACATCTTCTACAACAGTTATTTCATCATGAATGACCTTCAAGAACAAGCTCATTTAATATGCTATTAAAATCATCTCAATAATGAGTCCATCCTTTCCGTCTTTGGGTAGCACAACATCTTTCATTGAAGAAGGTTCGACAAGTCTTATGTTAAACTTACTGACAAAGTTTGTTATACTATAATGCTTCGGCGGCGAATACATGTAGTTTGAAAGACATAATATAGATTCTTCAGCAAATTCACTTATACTGGATTTTATAACAATGTTCTCACGAGACCAAATACCACCAATTGACAATCTTGTAAGCAATCCTGCTGAACCTTCTACTGTAAACGTCGATGGTAACATTCCACGAAGGTCATCTATTGACATCGTTGAGTCACTGTATTTAAATATTTTCTTAAAGCAATCGTCATTATCTAACCATGCAATAGCTTTGAAGTTTTCATTCGAATATACATCTGCTTCATTAAATGTAAAACCTGACTTCTTTGCAGAGACGACTTTAAAATCTATTGAGTTTGTTTCAAAATTATATGCTATGGTAACTTCTGAAGGTAATGGATGTCCTTCCGCAGTAAGTTGTTCTCTCACTACCATTTGAAGCTTTGTGTTAAAAACTTTCATGTCATCTCCTGTATCTAAGTTCACATACACAGCAACAGGAAAACTATCTTGCTTCTTTGTTTCATCATTATACCTCAAAACATTAAAGTTCTTCAATAATATTGTTCTTCCTGCTGGAATACTTCGAACCTGTCTGATTTCAATAGCTTTCTCACCTCCTACATACTCTACCCAGTGTCTTGGATATTCATAAGTATACTGACTTTCTTGAATTTTGGTTGGTTTCATCATAACATGTTCATAGTATATCTTTATACTCTTGTCAGTTAGACTCGGTGCTATGTTCTGAATATTTCTGACTTGCATTTTTAATGGAGATAAAATGAAGCATTTAATACATGACGTAGATGAAGACATGAATGAAAGCAGTGAAAAGCTCAACAGTTCTCTCATTCTTCCTTTCAGTAAGGACTATGAGTTCTGTTCAAATGGCGTTTATTTCTATTGTGGAAAGATGGGGTCAGGTAAGACATTTAACCTCATTCGTCATATTCTTATAACAGAACGTTTAGGAAATGACTCATATTATGACCAAATCATTATATCAGCAACTTCAGACTCTATGGACTCAACAGCGAAAACATTTATGTCAAAAGTTCAAGCCTCTGTCGTTAAAGTTCCAGACAGTGAACTCATTGAATTTCTTCAACGTTACATTCGACGTAAGAGAAAATATTATGCCATCGTTGAATTTATACAGTCAGGAATGCAAAAGACTTCTGAGGAGATGGAAAGAATTATTGACAAACACCACTTACGTCAATACTCAGGAGTTTACGATATGAAACGACTTACAAACTACATTCTATCAAAACTTTCAAAATACCCCTTCAAAAAGTATCCTTCAAACACTCTGCTCGTTTGTGACGACTTCGCTGGTAAAGGTTTAGTGTCAAAACCAGACTCACCATTAGCTAACATCATTACTAAAGTCAGACATTACCATTTAACTGTAGCAATACTTATGCAAACATGGAGGTTTTTAGCTTTAAACATAAAACGTCTCATAACTGACTTCGTTATCTTTCAAGGTTTCTCACGTTATGATATTGAACTCATTTGGAAACAGTCAGGTATAACATTACCTTTTAAAGAAATTTGGGAAGCATATAAGTCTCTCATCTCTCCTCGTTCATACCTTGAGATTCATATCATGACTAATACCATTAAAGTCAAAAATATTCCATGGGAACGACCAACATTGTTTTAAAGTTTAACCTTCAATTGACTGATGGTAAACAAATTCCATGCATCTCTGTCGCCATTTCTGTTAATATTTTTGCTGTCATTCATATCATCCACTTCTCCATCCGTTAGCTTTTGAGGATATGCGTTAGAATAGCTGTTCTTAAATGAAGGCTTTTCACCTTTGAGAGCATAAACTCTATAACTTTCTGCATACTTTATGTTTGAACCTCCTGAGCCATCATTGACATAAATTTTTATAGGCTTCCACCCTTTGTTCATATTCCTGCTTCTTCCCTTAGCTCTTTTGTTCAGTAGTTCTACATCTTTATACACAGCTCCTGTCTCAGTGAATTCAACAATATTTTCATTCGTTAGCTTTACATTCAAACCCTTGTCGAGTATATTGTTCATTTCATACATATAAAAGGTTTTTATTCTATATGAAATGAGAAGCAAATCCATCTTAGCTGGTGCCGTTAATGTTCCAATTGAACCAACATCAAATGTTGACTCACGAACGACAAACAATATTGTCATAAAGAACTATAGTTCAGAGTGTTTGAAAGAACCAGAACCAGTGCTGAAATCCGTGAATTTAAACACAGCTTCAAACGCTAACGCTACATCAGATGTTAAGTTAGAGTATCCACCACCGGACCAAATTCTTTCAAGAGAAGCCAACGACAATCCTTACACAAATGTTCAAACAAATCCTTCAGATAACGTAGACCATTACCTTCTTCAGTTATACCAAACAATTTTACTCAAAGACGATAAGAAGCTTTTGACAAATCTTATAAGTAAGAACCAAATAATTCTAACAAAGGAGGACCTTGAAAATGTTATATCACGAATAACAGGGAAACAATGTGTCATTGACTATCTCGACCCTGAAATCGAATGCTGTGGTCAAACTCCACTATTCATGAAAATAGGTAACATCCGCATCATTGAAACACCAGGAACTACAGGAGTTGAGTTTAAGTATAAATATTCGAATGAATATACAAAACTTTCAACAGAATATAAGCTTTGTTTGAAATATGTTTTAGTAAATTAAAGCAGTCAGGAGGGCTCTTTGAGCCCATCTTGGCGCTTTGCGCCGTCAGTCAAAAAAATTTCAAGTTAGCAATTTGTAATATCTATCCAAAACTTCTTCAACAGTATCGAACTCATCTTCATAATGCAAACCTAATCTTATTGACTTGGTGCAGTTTTCACTAACACAATATTTTTCTGTTCTCTTGACTGACATAACTAACTCATTTGTTTCATCAAACAGCAACAACCAAAGTTCATGACCTAATACATAACATTCATACTTTATATTTTTAGCTCTGAGTTCTCTTGTAAGCTGTTGCATTTAATATTTTCTAAAAAGTCAACTTCAACAGTCATTCGCACTGGTGCCTTCAGTTCTACAGGCTCTCCTTGAAAGTCAACAAGTCTGAATTGCATGTCTTTCAAATTATGAGGACTAATGCGAACCCATTTACCTAAATGAGTTGCTATGACAGGAACGTTTGGAATGAACATTGAATTGACTGCATAACAGAAGGATTTATATTCTACTGAACCTTTACTATTAACTCCTGAAATGCCTGTGACATTAGCTATTTTAGACTCAATGTATAAACAATTACCATAACATACGTATGGAACAGATTTCATCTCAATCGTTTTGTCAACACTTTTCAAAGGAAATGTCATATGGTATGCACCCAAAAGAAGTTGTACTCTATGACTCATTCGTGTTATCTTAAACTCCTTCGCATAACTGAACTTCAAAACTCCTGCAATAAGTTTAACATTCATTAAGTTTTCTTCGTTATCCTTGTTTATTGTAGTATTTATGAGAGCATTTAACACTCCAGCTAATGTTTCCATCTTATATTCTACATTATTGTGAAATCTTATTTCGTGCTTCTTTCCATCTATTTCAATCTCCATGAAATCTGTTTCATCTGTTATGACAAAAGTTGCGATAGTATTGAAGTCAACAACTCTGAAAGCAAGCGCTTCATTCTGAAGACCTAAGTTTGTTTGTAGCTTTACTGTCCCGTATTCGTTTGGGTCTGTACTTTGCAAATAGAACAACATTTTATTCTCATTAAAATATGACTATTGCTGCATATGCGTATGAAACAAATGAAGCAAGAAGAGCACATGAACTAGTAAACGAAAACTCAACTTTAACCATTGAAGGCAAGGATTTAGTCATTGACGATGGAAAAACTAAAAAAGTCATTGATTTCGATACTTTTAACACTTATGACCCATTCATTACAACAAGCAAGGTTCCCATCATAAATGATGGAACGGTGCAATATATAAATTCTACAGTAGATGCCTCATTAGTGAAAGTATTAAATGTTCTCATTGAATTGTTAAAGAGCTTTCGATTTGACGACAACATTAAATGCCTAAAGAATTTAGTCATGAATGAGAAACAAATTCTCGGCGTTGCTGGTAGCAGTAATGATGTACACCTTATGACATTAGAATATTATAACGAACATAAAGATGAACTGAAAGGAGAGAAGGGTGACACCGGACCTCAAGGACCACAAGGAATACAAGGAATACAAGGACCTCAAGGCGAAAACGGTTTGGATGGTGAAGATGGAAAGGATGGAAAAACTGCTAAATCATGAATATGGAACCTTATAAATACTGGTTTAACAGCTGCTTCATATGGAGTTCTTCAATACCAAATCGGAAAGATATGGGCAGTACTTGGTGAAGAAGTTTTAGATGACGTTAAAAATGCTTTGAACTTCATTTCAAATGGTTCTGATACTATTAAAACTTTATCTGGTTGGATGCAAGAAACAAGGAGTCAAATAGATACTGTAAGACGTATAGCAAACAATGCACGTACGGGATTGGATACTTTACGAGAAGCACAAAATACACTAAAGGAAGCAAATGATATTCTTGGCTCAGTATCAGACATGCATGAAGATTGGCTTAAAGGTATTGACAAATCTTTAAAAAATCACAGTCAGTCTATTGCTGACTACAAGAAAAGTATAGATTTTTTACATAGTGCTATGGACGTACATGATGGAAGCATAAGGAACTTACTTAATGCTAACAATAACTTACCAGGAACTATTAAAGCATTTATAAAGTCCTTTGTAAAACCTGGTGCTCTAACATTTAGGTCTTTGAGAGCAAGAGCATTGAAGTCAAGAGATGCAGAAACTCCAACAGAACCTACAGAAGGAACTGAAACAACAGAAACTCCAGAAGAACCACCAAAACCAACAGCTAATGAAATATTGTTCGAATATTTTCCAAGGTACTCTGTTCTCATTGCATACATTCAAGAAATACTTAAGAAAGCAGACTTGACTTTAGGAGATGATGAAAGTTCTGTATATCTTTCGTTCCAGTTTCAAATAGCAGAACTTTTGAGACAGATATGCTTAATGTATGACAACATCTCTGATTTCACAAGATATGATGACGACCATGACCCCGAACACGGTGAAGAAGAAGTTTTACAAACATCCATTAAGACAGGAAAGGTTTTAACTCAAAGTCTCATTATTGACACCAAAGATGGCGAAGTGGACGTTCTTCAAGAGCTGAAGAAAAATACTTCTTCGGGAGGTGGTGGTAGGCATGAACTTGAAATAAATGAGATAGAAGAGAAATTAGCCGAAAAAGCAGATAAAAACCATGTTCATTATATAAGTTCAGACGAACAGATTATAACGGACTACCATGGATATTTAACACGAACTGAAGAAGAAGTGAAGATGGAAGATGTTAATGAAAGAAGATATAAATTCATTCGTGCTAAAGGTTATGACATACACGGTACTGTACAGTATGACACAGGTAAAGCACCAGAAGCATTTGGTTATAACAATGAAATTTATGCTTCATACTTCTTTGTTAACGGTGTATTAGTTGAACCAAGATTTACATTGAGAGTTAAGGCAAAAATAACTTTTGAAGATGCTATTAAAAGTAAAGCTGACAAAGATGAACTTGACGCAACGAACAAAGTTTTGAAATCTCATAAACACAATATCTCCGATATAAATGAACTTCAAGCTACATTAAATAGTAAAGCTGACAAGAACCATACACATAAATCCTTCACTACTGTTAGAGCAGACGACATAATATTGAACTATACCCTTGGTTCAAGTGCACCTTTAGAGAATCCAAGTACAAGCGTAAAAGATACACTAAACTCCTTAAATAGTAAATGTATGAACATTGAAGGTCATGTCAGAAACTTTGAAACACATGAACTACCAGCAATGTTAGATAAAAAAGCAGATAAAGAACATACACATAACTCCTTCTCAACTGTTGCTATAGAAAGTATTGAAGGAACGGTTGGCGGAACTGGTGGAGATGCATTATATTATAAACCTCCTAACTTTCCACAAGGTTTAACATCGAATGAAAACATAACAACGAAGAAAGAAATTAGCTGTAAAAATGTTTATGTCATGGATGATGAAAATAATGTTAAATTCACTGCTCAAGATTTATATGATAAGAAAGCAGACAAAACAGAGCTTCAAACATTAAAGACTGAAATACTTCAAACATTATATCCTATAGGCTCTATTTATACGTCAATGAATTCAACAAATCCAGCAACAGTTTTAGGTTTTGGTACGTGGAAGCAGATTGTAGATAAATTCTTATACTGTGCTAACTCTTCAAAGCAAACAGGAGGTTCGAAGAAAATTAAAGAAGCAAACCTTCCACCGCACACTCATACAGGAACTACAAACACAACAGGTAGTCATTCACATTCAATAACAAAAAGAGGTTATACAAATCTTGCAGCAGGTTCGGATAGACAGGGAATGAATAGATATGATATTTCAAGTGATCCAGTAGATTCAAGCACAGGTATTTTCTGTGGAACCACAGGTAATCATTCACACACTTTCACAACAAATCCAACAGGCTCGGGTGAAGATTATATGCCACCATTTATGACTATATTTGCATGGTACCGCGTTCAATGAACGCGCTTGAGCCTAGAATAAAATCTTTAACTTTACATAAATGAGCTTGAAAGAAGTATTCGAACAACATCCATGGAGGTCATTTAAGAAGTTCAATGAAGCTGCAAAGAGTTGGGGATTTACTAACAGAGCTGAAGTGAAAAGGTTCTTTGACAAAAATGTTGTACATCAAACAAAAATAAACCCTTACGACTACTTTTTACCAATTTACTCCAACGCTTCTGACACATACCAATTTGACACTCTCATTCAAAGCAGAAAAGGAGGACATAAACCATTCCTCATCTTCATTAATGTTAACACTCGTAAAGCATATGCATATCCAATGAAAAATAAAGGAACTCGTGAAGTGTTAAGAGTTTTACAAAAGTTTGTAGCAGAACATAGCCCAAGTACTTTAACATCAGACCAAGACAGTGCATACCTCAGCAATGAAATCACAGATTTTCTCATTAAGCATAACATAACTCACTACACTACTGAAGACCATAACCATAACATACTCGGCATCATAAACCGCTTCATAAGAACGCTCAGAGATTTAAACAAGAGCGAGACTTTACTGAAGAAACAATGAAACATTTTCTCGAAGTATATAATTCCTCAACACATTCTACAACAGGACATACACCAAATTCAATGACACAACAACAAGAAGAAAAGTATATACAAAAGAAACGAAGCCAAACACAAAATATCAGAAATTCAACACAATTTACCCTCATTCCTGGTACAAAAGTTCGTGTAGTTCTTGACGACAAACCGTTGACAAAGAAACGTTTAAGGTTAAGTAGAAACTATTATATCGTAGACTCTACGCAAGGTAATGGATATCTTATAAAAGCTGCTGACGACTCTATTGCGTTTTACCCTCGTCACAAATTAGTCGAAAGTAGTAATGGCAAACTTGCTGAAACCATTGACGAAGCAAAGCGAGGAGTGGTTATTGAAATACTTGGCTATAACATAAACGATGACACTTATAAAGTAAGATATGAAGGAGGCGTTGAAGATGTTATACCATCTAAGAACTTGAGAGAGTCAAAGCCAACACATCTGGGACCATTAGAGCGGGAGTACTGGAAAGACAAAAATAAGCCAGAAAGAATAAGAAAATTCTTCTAAACTTTTTCATTAGATGTAAATCAGACAAAATAATTTTTAGGTGAAATCTCACCTCTTTTTTCACCTGTTTTTTCACCCTCACGAATTTTCATGAATTTCCTTAAGATAGAAAAAAATAAAGTTAGTTTTATTTTTATTTATTTTTTTTATTTTGTATGTAAGAACAGAAATGTCAGTCAAAGCAAAAACATTCACGAACAAATCTAATGGCGAAACATTCACAAAAGGCACTTATAATGGTATTGAAGTCTTACGTAGAGACAAGGATGGTTACATTAATGCAACAAAGATGGCAAGAGAAGCGGGAAGGTTAAACCATTTAAACAGATTTCTCAATAGTGCTAAAATGCAGCAAATTCTTGAGTTTTGGATGAACGAATACGGTCAAGCCAAAAGTGGCTCGACCTCAAAACAAGCATTTTATGAGCTTACTAAGGGCGTTATAAATGAATTCAAAGGTATTTACATACATCCTGACCTCGTTCATTTTGTTGCTGAATGGTGCTCTGTAAAGTATGCATTTTATGTCAAAGATATTATGGACTCCATAGACAAGAAAGTTCATGAGAAATTAGATGAAGAAGAACTCGAAGATACAGTAGAGAATGCTAAACATTTGTTTGAAGAAGAAGTTAGAAAAATGTGCGAAAAACAATTAGAACATGAACGTGAGATATGTTATGGTTATAGAGATTCTCCATACGAACTAGACCAATGGGAACAAGAAGATTTAAAGAGAGAATTTAGAGAATATGAACTCGCTAAGATAGCATTAGAAACTGCAGAAACGAAGTTAAAAGTTTGGGGTCGTTTTGTACAAAAATATTGTGAGTAAATGAACCATTTATTTTTATTGAATTCACCAAAAATATAATTGAGGTGAAGAGGTGAGATCTCACCTCTTTTTTCACCTGTTTTTTCACCCTCGCCGCTTAGCGGCTCAGATTGCTTTAGCTTTCTCATGAATTTTCATGAATTTCCTTAAGATAGAAAAAATAAAGTTAGTTTTATTTTTATTTATTTTTTTATTTTGTATAAAAGATATGATTTCAACAACCGGCACAACAACAATTCAAGCCACGAACGGCGGGACTCTGTCCACAACTACAGCACCAAACTCGCTAGTCATGAATCCTACGTCAATGTTGGTAGAGATGAAAAGCTTTATTCCTTCTTCATATACTTTTGAAACAGAAATCCAGAAGATAAAGCAAGAACTTTTAACAAGTAATTTAGACTGTAGTGCGAAAGATGAAACAAATGAACAGTATCTTTATGAAATGGAGGACCTCATCGACCATTTGCCTAAACTACCTGAAATTCAGCAGCAAAAACTAACTATTCCTGAATTCGACGAAATTGAAGTCAAAGCAACTGACTCAGTAGAAATTAAGAAACTCATACGTAAAGTAAATTATGAATTCCTTGGTTTTCATTGCAACCATAAAGTTATGGACAAAGATTGCGACATGGTTTATAAAAATATTTCTGACCTTTACAAATCCGAAGAATTTAAGACATACGATAATTTTGTTTCATTAGTTGCAAAATGTGTATGGCAGATAAGAGATAAAGATAGAAGAGGTAAGGTATGGAATGAACAGATAAAACCAGCAGCTTTTGAGTTAAAGAAAACCATTGACGCCTTAGTTGTTCTAGCTGGTTTTATTTCAATGTATAACGCAAAAACGATGCCGCAATGTTCAAAATGTAAAGCAGCAATAAGAAAATATAACTACTCAGTCAAAGAGATAGAAAGAATGCGAAACGACTATGCAGACTTAAAGAAAGAAGCAGAAAAACCAGCAGAAAATAAAATGGACATGTTAGCATTTCTGAACAAAAACTATCCAACTGCTGACGATTTCCTTCTATCTGACGTCAAGAAGAAGTATAAAGAAACCTTCGGCATTGTTAAAACTTTTGATGTACTAAAAGAAGAAATAGAAGCTACGAAATTGTTTAGGATTTCAAATATACATCGTACAATTCATGTAAAACGCTTGTGAAAAAAGAGGTGAAAAAACAGGTGAAAAAACAGGTGAAATCTCACCTCTTCACCTCAACATTATTTTTATTGAATTCAGCACAAAAATAATGAATTTCATTAGTTAGAAAAATAACGCTAATTTTATTTTTATTTATTTTTTTATTTTGTATGTAAAGACAGTAATGTCAACATTAGAGAACACAACAATTGCTATCGTTCATGAAGCCATAAATGAAGAATACGAGTACATACAGTATAACAAACAGTTACGTCTCATTCGTTCAGTCAAAGATGACATGTACCAGATGCAAAGTATAATGAACGCTCTTCGTTCTACAAAGCAAGCATATCATTGGTTTGAAAACCAACAGACAAAAGAACTTTTAGAAGAATTTCCTCATATGATTGCTTCCCTCGGAAAACCGAGAGAAGAGATTCCGTACGAAAATCGCAAGAATTTGGCTCCTGGTTTGAAAGGTTATTATGTTCATAGACTTTTAGTAAACGCTGTAGCAATATGGGCTTCACCTCGTTATGCTTGTTATATTTTCATGATGTTAGACGAACTATATAAAGCAGAACGTGGAGAGATGGAAAAGAAACTTCATACAAAAGATGAAGTCATTGAATCCAAAGACAAAAGCATACAGAAAAGAATACCGCGTTCAGTACCAAAAGGAAAGGAAAAGAGTTATAGGTATATGATATATACTGAAGAGTTGGAGAAAGAAGAAGATAAAGATATGGTTATGTTGCATTTAGTCAGAAGAAACAACAAGAGCTTTTATGACTTAGCTAAAATATATAAATCTGACAGAAACTGGTTCTATCGTGAAAACTTACCGATTTCAATGACACCGAATGAGCAAATAAAGGAAATTGTCAAAAATACTCTTCCTCAAACACACTATGACATCAAAGGTTGCACAATACTTACATTCAAAGAAGACTTAACATTACTGAAGGAAAAAATAACAGAATATTTCGATAACTTCAAAGAGGAAGAATAAAAAAATCTAAGCTAATTTTATTTTTTTATAAAATTTTATCTCATATGAAAGAACATGAATTTAGAATATTCAGAACTCTTGACAGAAGAGGAGAACAAACAGCATGTAAAAGATTATGCAAAATTTCTGAAGACATACAAAGCATTTAAACAATATCTAAATGCTTCTAAAGATTATGCAAAATTTCTGAAGGTATATAAAGCTTATGAAAAAGCGTATGAAAAGTTTATACATTGGGGAATTGTTGTAAAATATCGATATGAAGACTAACCAAAAATATATTTTTGCTTAAATAGCTTCAGGGTCTATTTCTTCAACCATTTCACTTCCTTCGTCAATGTCAATAGAAGCTTCTTCAACCTTTGGTAAGAATTTCTGTATAACATCTTTGTTCGTTATTGTCTTCAGAGATGAAGGATAATATTTCACATTTGTTTCACCTTTCTTATATTCTTTCTGTTCGGAAAGATTTAAAGCAATACTGAAGAAGTCAATATTAGAGTTCTTTATAACAGTATAATGAGTATCTTTGACATTCACGAAGAAACTCTTTTGTTTCAAAACTACTGCTAACTCTCGTGAAGTATAACCTTTGCGGTCAATGACGATAGCTAATGGTCTGACATACTGACCAAACTTAGATTCTTTCACAAACTTCTTGTTAAAGATAACATTAACATTTGAAACCATTGAACTCATTCTTGATGCAGTAGCGAGAGCATTGTATGAAAAGAACTTGCAATCTTGCATGTGTTTCATTAAAATAAAAATATTAAATTATTTTGAAAAATAACTTTAAAAAATCTAATCTAATTTTTTCAAAAATATTTTTTTTATTTCCTACTAAAGATGTATCGGAAGTTGTCTAAGTTAGAACACTCGGAAATAAAACAACTTCTTACAGAAGCTAATATAGATGTTGCAAAACATTACGCAACAAACAAAAAAGCACTCGCTGACTTCATTAAAGACTATAATGGTGCAATAAGTTATGATAGAATTCATGAGTTCATAAAGCCGCAACGCGGCGAGGACGAAGTCCATGCAAGAGCATTTCCTTTAAATGACGTTGCTATTGACTTATATCATAGACGTTCAGTACCTCATGAAGTAAGAAGAGAAATGTTTGACATAACAAATGCAAACGTTGGTGAAACAAGAAGAAGAGACGACACACTGAAACAACAGAGAAGAGAGATGTTTAAGAGCGCTATAGAACAAGTTCGCAAAGCTAACGATGTCATTCGTTCCATTGACGACAAACCAAAAGAAGGTGAGAGATGGTTAAAGAAAGATGAAGAGAATAGGAAGAGAAATGTGAAGTCAGGCAATAGACTCATTGACTTTAACATCGAAGCTTTAGATGAACCAAACAGAGACTACTTACACAAACATTTCGGTAAGGTTTTCATGAGACTCTTAGAGAAAATTAAAATAAACTCACAACAGAGATGGATGGTATGTTATAAACTTGGTGGAAAGTATGAATGTTCTACGTTAAACCTCAATAATATTGGAACATTACTACATCAGCTCTTGAAGGAGAACTTTATATCAGAGATAGAAGCAAATGCTGCAGGTATTGTTGAAATGCACTATGACTTCTTCTTGACAAACATAAAGAATCTTACTGAAATAAAGATGTATGATTTAACAGAATATGAAGGCTTAACGATGTCAGATGTAAAGAAAGGCAAACCAAAAAAGAGACCATATAGAGATGAAAGCACACTGACAAATGACCAGAAAGCCATTTTGGAAGCTCTTAAGCAAACAGGAAACCCAGCACTTATAGAAAGCTTTTGGAAAGATAATGGTGAAAAGAAGTTTTATAAGAAGAGAAGCGGTCAGTTCTGGAAGTATCTTTGCACATTACCTATAAATCTTGAACGCTACCAAATCTTCAATGAATTGAACAAAAGAACTGCAACACTTATGACAGAAGATAACTGCTTCGTTTATGCTTGCATTCAGGCTGGAGTAAATGAAGAAACTATTGACCACATGAGAGAAGTCATTCGTGTTAGAGACTTTCCTCAAAGTAAAGTACAAGAAATTTCTGACGCAACAGGTATAGCATTTAATGTTACCATTGGTTATTTCAATGACTCAAGACATAATGAAATAAAGAGATACATACCAAAAGAATGTGAAACTGTTAGAACTATTGACTTACTTCTTGTTGAAGACCACTACATGCTAAACGAAAGATTACCAATGACAACATATTTCATTCGCAACTATATAGAAATCTTGAAGGAGTGTGGTGGAATGAACATTGAGAAACAGATGAAGATTTATACAAAGAGAGAGAACAAATATGTAGTTCGTTATGATAGAACAACACCGTTATGGGATGTTATGAAAACATTGTGGGAGTGCAAATATTTCGAACCTATTTCTTATGGAGAACTTTTCACATATACGACTGACTTATATAAACAGAACCTTGCACCATTTAAAGATTTGACATATGCTCCAAAGTATTGTGTACAACTGAAGAAGAAAGCCGAGTCAAAAGAAGTAAATAAAAATAAGTGCAAGTTCATTCCTGAGCACGTTTTCTTTGCTGACTTTGAGTGCAGTACCGATGGCTTTCATAAAGCTTTTAACATATGTTAGACAGTGAAGATGGTTCAGTGAGTGAAAGCATTTGGGGTCAGAACTGTGCAACAGAATTTTTGGAACGACTTCCTGACAAGAGTTTAATATATTTCCATAACCTCAGTTATGATATAAACTTCATCTTAAGACACATGACAGAAGTGAAAGGAACTCCCATCATTAAAGGTTCACGAACAATGCAAATAACTGGCTTATATAAAGGAAGGGCAATTATTATAAAAGACTCTTACAGTGTTATAAATAAGAAGCTTAAACTATTTCCTGCTATGTTTAACTTACAAACAGGACCGAAAGAAGTATTTCCATACAACTACTACAGCAGTTTTGTTAGCAAATGACAACAGAACTGGTGTCATTTCTGAAGCATGTAAGTTTATCCGGGATGCAGATACATTCATGAAAAACATAGATTCCATCAAAGGTTGCAGAATAGATGAGAACCACTTCGACTTAGAAAAGTATAGCACATTTTATTGCAAACAAGATGTAAGAATTTTAAGAGAAGGTTTTGTTAAGTTCCGCAATGACATATTGAAAGAATTTGATTTAAACGTTTATGACTACGTTAGTATTTGTTCAATTGCTAACAAATTGTTTGAGAACAGAGTGTACTTCCCGAATGGAAATTTATATGACCTCTCAAATAAACCAAGAGAATTTATTTCACGCTGTATTCAAGGTGGAAGATGTATGCTGTCAGATAACATTAAACAAAAGAGAAAGAGAAACTCATTGCTGATTTCGACGCTGTTTCATTATATCCATCAGCTATAGCAAGACTTTATACTTTAGAAGGTATTCCAAAGGTTATGAAGAAAGAAATGTTAAGCACAGAGTATCTCATGAGACATTTATTCGATGACGACCAAAAGGAACCCATTGGTGAAAAGTTTATGTCTGGCTTCTTTGTTCTCATTAAGATAACAGAGATTGGAATACATAGACACTTTCCTTTAATAGTTTGTGACCCTGAACTAAATCCAGAACTTAACGTTCCCAGAAGTTCAAACACTTGCTGTTTAATGTATGTTGACCATATAACATTACAAGACCTCATAAAATATCAAGGTGTCAAATGTGAAGTGTTGCAAGGATACTATTACGATGGAAACAGAGATATTAGAATAAGAGATGAAGTAAAGAAGTTGTTTGAGTTAAGGTTAAAGTATAAGAAAGAAGGAAATCCTTTGCAAGAAAATATAAAGCTCATTCTGAACAGTATTTATGGCAAAACTATTCTATCTCCTATTGAGTCAAAAATAACCATAGTAAATGACAAAGATGCTATAAGATATGCCATCAGAAACTACAACCATATAGTGAAGTTCGAAGGTTTGGATGGTTCAGATAAAACTATTTTCAAGCTAACGAAAAGCATTTGCAGACACTTTAACTTCTGTCCACTTGGTGTTAACATTCTGTCTATGTCGAAGAGAATAATGTGTGAAGTATTCTGTACTGCTGAGGACTTAGGAATGGACATCTTTTATAGCGATACGGACAGTATGCATCTCTACAATGAAGATATCCCTCGTTTAGCTGAAGAGTTTGAGAAACGTTATGGAAGAGTTCTCATTGGTAAAAACCTTGGTCAATTTCATAGCGACTTTGCAGAAATCACAAAAGATAAACAAAGTTTAGCATACAAGTCAATATTTTGTGGAAAGAAGACTTACATAGACTTACTCACGAATGATTTAAATGAAGTTGCATTTCACTGCAGAATGAAAGGCGTGAAGCAAGATGTTATTGCTTTAACCGCTAATGAAATGTTTCCTGACTCTGTTCAGTGTTTCTATGATGAAGATAAAGGTTTAATGGTTCCGCAAGGAAAATTTGACAAAGACTCTGAGTTCAGTGTTATGAAGTTATATACAAAGCACTTTATGACGGTCAAGAGATTGGATTTGACTTATGTAAGTCATGTCAACCTTGCTTTGAAGAGAAGTTTAACTTCTCAATAACGACTAAAACAAGCTTTATTCGTAAGTTGAAGTTCTGAGGTCATTTATTTTTGTCAGCAATGAGGTCATTCGTGATAAAAATAAAAACTAGCGGCAAGGCGAAGCCCATGTGGTCATTTACAATACTGCGATGGTAGAGTTTAAGAGTTGTGCTTCAATGTAGAGACAGTCCTTATGGTCTGGAGGTAAGAACACTGGGCAGTTATGGTCATGAGTGGAGAACATGTCTATCCAAAACTCACGATTGAAGCCAGTTAATTTTATAGTATTTAGGGTTAGGAAGTGGTGAAGTTCTTGTATGACCAATGAACTCATTTTCAACTCCCTTACTTAAGTTTGAATATAATATAGCTTGCTTTCTATCCCAAATGCCTGGAAATCTAATTTCGGAAAAATCATTTTTCCTCGGAAGCATTGCATCATAATTGAAAACATTCTTGAAATCATCACTTGGTTCAGAGATTTTGAATCTTATACGTAATGGATTTTCTTTCTTTTTAGCGACTTCATTGAATGGTGAGAATACAATGAATTGACAGTCATGTGTTCCATCTTCATTTTATTAAAATCGTAATGAAAGTCTATAATTTTCTACACCTTCTTCTTTCAGTTGTGCAAGAAACTCACGTAAAGGCTGTAAAGTTTGTACTTCAATGTTAAACTTTTTTGAAATTTTCGTAAATGAATCATACAGTCTTCAACGTTGTATCGTCTTTAAAGTATTTGTATATGTGAATGTTTTGGGCGCTTAAAGACTGTTCGTCATTTTCTATCTCGACTTGAAGTATAAAGTCAACCTTTCTGAAAGCACGTGTTATATACATAGATGTTATGCCAATGTACTTCTCTTCATTTATGTTCACAATCCAGTCTGTTGGAAACTTAAACGTTACTCTGTTCCCCTTTATTTTGACGTCAGGGTTTTCACTACTGAACGCAACAGATAAAGGTATTTGTCTATACATTTAATTCGGATAAAAATAAACCATTTACTCTTTCTTTGCTTTTGCTTCAGCTTCTTCTCTAGCTTTCTTCGCCAGCAAACGTGGGTTCTTTTGTCTTCCAGCAGCTAATGCAGCAAGTTGTTTTTCACTAAGTTTTCTCTTTGGTCTCTCTGGCTTTTGTTCTTGTTTTTGTTCCTTCAGTTCGGATAAAATTTGCTCACGAATTTCTTTCTTCAATGCTTCAACATCTATGACCCCTTGGGTCTTGTCCGTAGGGCTTGTCTGAGTCATTTGACTGCAGATAAAAAACAAAATTAAAACTTTAACCGATGTAAAATGAGCTTGTCAAAATCAGAGCGAGAGTCTATTATATTAAATGACGCAAGAGGAATACAACATCCTTTCTATTACGTAAGTCAGAGTAAAGATGGTAAAATATACGTAAGAAAAAGAAAGGTTCCATTAGCGAATGCAGAAAGCGACAACATTAAGGTGCATGGCAAGGGTGAAGTCCACGAAGCCCATATAAAACCTTCTGTTCAAACTGAGCACCATAGAACCAGAAGAAAAGAAGCCAGATGTACTTTCAATAACGAACCAAGAGCTTATTGCAAAGTTCGTGAATTTCATTGAAAAACAAACCGAGTCAAAGAACCCTGACCCACCAGTGAAAGAAGTTGAGACAAAAGAGAATGTACAGTTCATTGAAAATGTCAAGAAACAACTTCCACCACGAATGCCAAGAAGAAGAGTGAGAATAATGAAGTAAATAGATATTTTTATCTGAAGTAAATACATGCAGAACGAACAGCTAAACGAATTTACTCCAGCAGAGCATATTCATCAGATTCGCTCATATTTCGATATCATAGACAATGCAGTTCAAATTGGTGACACTAATAGAAAATATTCTGACGCAAAGATTCCATCACAACCTGGAACTGCTAAAGATAACACATGGGTAACATTCAATCTCTCACCTCCTGGTGAAAATATGTTGGACCTTTACAATACATTCATTACGTATAAAATGGAAGGTCAATTTATTGTAGATAAAGAAATTGGTTCAGGTTCCAATAAAACAAACCCACCAGGATTTTGGATTGGTTTCGATGACGCTTTCTATGCAGTTGCTGGATATCAAATCCTTGCAAATGGTCGTATCGTATATTCTCAAGACAACGCAAGAGAAGAAGCATATATAACTTCAAACTCACAAACTACCGAACAAATAAAGAAAGTAGATGTTTTCTCAAAGACTCGACATGAAGATGTATGGAGTCATTCGGGAACATGCAGAACAGGACAAATTGTTAGTGGTCCAATTACAGCAGGAAAATCATTTGATTTTAAGCTTCGTTTAAGAATTCCTGTTAGAAGATTCCTTCCATTAGAAGCTATTCGATTTATTCCAGCTTTTGCAGGAAACATTCAGCTTAAAGTAAAGTTCAGTAGCGACGCCTTACAATGCACATCTATATCTGTAAATGATATCATTGCTTTCAATCCAACTCTTAAAGTTGCATTTGCTTCAGATTCAAATCCACCGACAAATAAATTTGTTCCATGGAATGAACCATTCACTATGATAACGAAGGCAGTAGAAGCTAGTGGAACAGTTACTATTACAACTGTAACCCAGCAACTATTTCGAACAAAGATGGATTTTAATGAATGTTTCATTCATCCAAAGTCATTCTCTTTAGACCCTAACATTTATACAGAACTTGTAGAACATTATACAAACGAGGCTTTATGTTTTCCTGTTAAAGTTATGGATTGGATTCCTATGGACGGTTCATTCTCAAAGAATACAGATAGTTCAAGTGCAACATTTACAGCAGCTTATACGCCTATTAATGTTAAAAGTATTTGGGCACTATTTAGAAAGAAAGACAACTATTATGTTAATTTTGAGAACCCTAAGTTTAAATATCTTCAGCTTTCCATGGGAGCTTATGGAAATATGCCTGCAGAACCTGAAAAATCATATGGACCTGTATTTTATGAAATGGTTGCGAACGCTTGCAATACAAACAATGATATGATAGGATTTAATGAAGATGTTATGAGGTCATTGGTGGATGATGGTAGTGTGGAACATAAATGGGATAGCTATGACAACACACATTTCTTATGTGGTTTTCCAACAGAAGTGGACTTTTGCTTCCAGCAAGGTCAAACATCTACTGCTCCAATAACATACAAATTGTCTGTTAAAGGACCTATTGAACTAGCAACTGAAAATGTACCAAAGCCACTTATTGGATTTATGAGGGATTGTTGCTTTGCCATTCAGGTGCGTGCTAATGGCATCCCATAATAAGATTAGATGACTATAACTTAGCTACGGACGACAGTGAGGAATAAAGGATGAACGTTTATTTTTAAAGCTTATAAATGAGTTCTTCATCAAGCTCTCGTGAACCTTCACCATCTATGAAACAAACTTTACCAAACGATTATGGAGCACCTATTGAATATTTCTTACGAGCTGCACAATGGCAAAGAGCAGTCTCACCAAGGTTAGGTGTTCCACCAGCTCCTGTCAAAAATAGCATTTGGTCAAGTCCTTATATAAATATGGTCTCCCACTAGGTTTGCTAGCTACAGCAGGAGCAGTTATGATGTTGAAAAGAAATAAAGCAAATGTTGTAAATAATACTGAAGTAGCTGAAGTTAAACAAACTCCAACACCTTCGCCAAAACCAACGCCTTCACAAGCAAAACCTTCAATGACTCCTGAACCTATGGAAGTACAAACTCCTATTCAAAAGTCAACTCCTAAACCGACTCCAACATTTAAACCAGAACCTACTCCTCAAATAAATCGTAAAACTCCTACGTTTCCTTACTGAAAAAATAACGTTATTTTTTATTTAATATTAAAATTTTTATTTGATTGAAATGACAAATAAAGTCACTGAAGCAATGAAACAAAAGTTTTTGGTAGAATACATTAAATCAGGAACTATTCCAGAAGGTTTTTACATTCATACTATGAAGGATGGTAGAGTTCAGTTTAGAAAGATAAAGCAACCATTAGATAAAGAAGGAATTTTGAGAAAGATTAAACTTCATGAGGACAACATTGCTGAACTTAAGAAGAAGTTAGAAGAGTTGGAGAAAGGAAGAGAGTTATAAAGCAATGAATTCAACAGGGTGAAAAAACAGGTGAAAAAAGAGGTGAGATCTCACCACTTCACCTAAATATATTTTTGTGCTATGTTTTCATACGTGTGAGGGTGGTGATATAAATGTTTTATTTTATTTTTATATAAATGACAGAACAAAAGCAACTCATACAAATCGAAAAATATAACAAACATACATTTAAACATTTATTCTTCCTTCCTGAGTATAACATGTTCTTTACACTTCATCCTAGACCAGTAGATTATACATTGACTGTGTATAAAGATTGTCATGGTAGTTTTATAAAAACTTATGATGATGAAGGTAAGTTAACAAGACTATGCATTTCAAAACTTGAGAAACTTTATGACTTCAAGTATGACTACAATAGAGTTAACATTGACGATGAAGATATAGAAGAAATTTATGAGAACGTTTATTTTTTCATTAGTGAGTTCGTTAGTGAGGTGAAATGGTTGGCGGCTTTGTAAATATTTAAGGTTAAGTTAGTGTTGTCGTTTGTGTTGTAAAATATACGTTAACGGTTTCGTAAAGTGTCAAATTCACATATAATGGGTAAGGAGGCGCGCAGTGCCTCCGTACCCAAGATAGGTGTACTAACTCAAAACACTTCATTCTTATAGATGTTGATTCACTAAAGTGTGATTCTATTTATATGAGGTAGGGGCATGAGGCTCGGCAAGTCTTATTGCTTTTTACCTCAATTTAGGTATTAAATAATTATAATGATTCATAGTGGCCGCTGCTGACTGGCCATCAGCAGTCCCCTGGCCAAGATTAATATAATTATTTAATACTTATCCAGTTTTACATCAATAACAACAAAGCTAATCAATCATCATTCAGAAATGCGGGAAATTACTACTAATATTAAAGATTGATAGACATTAGGCTGGCCACCTTCTGTCTAATATCTTTACGAATAAAAATAATACTTTTTAAAACAAATTATTTAATAAATTTTATTAAAAAACAAAATCAAATATCAAATTGATCATCATTCAACTTGATGAAGAAGCGGCATGCTACATATTCTTCTTTGCATGATTCGTTCATTGAATTTCTTGTCTTTCGCAATTCAGATATTACCCGTTCTACATCTGCTTCACTGCACGAAAGTGACATCATCCTTTTTCCAATTGGTCTTATTGCTTTTAGTTGCTTTATGCCATTCATGTACCAAAACTTGCCATCATTTTGAGCAAGATGATGACCATTTATAAGATGGGGATCATCTTGCTCTATGAAGAAATCGTAAGCATCAATCAATTCCTTGGCTCTATCGTCTTTATTGATCGTTGGATCAACTGTTGATTCGGCAATTGCTCTTTGTCTGAGGATTTTATCATGAATGTGTATAGATCTTTTATCTCTTCATCTACAACATCCCAGACCAAGGAATTCCTCGAACCATCGGCATTTGTTTCGGCTGCATGATCGTCGTTAAGCATTTGTTCCTCTTCTGCTTGCTGGATCTCTTCATCATGCTCGGCTACCTCGTCAACACGTTCTGTTCGTTCTTCTTCAAGGATTTCACCGAGTTTCTCAAATGTGATCTCGCGATTGATGATCCTCAGGGAAGGAATCGTTGGGACTTGCACATCTTTCAACTGCATTATAGGTGGATAGCTTGTCTTTCCTCCAAAACCCTTCTTGTCTCTGATGATCTTCCTTGCTAACGGTGTAAAGCCGAAAGCAAACCGAAGCAAATCAATTCTACCATATTCTTTCATATCATTTTTGAATATTGTAGTGATTGATCGGAGAATCTCTTCACCATCTGGCGTTAATCTTCCTGCCATTTCATCCAACATCCCTTGGCACTGTTGTATCATCAGGAATGCATAAGCACCCATGGACTTGTTGGATTCCAGCCATAATTGAAGTTGCTTTAATGGCTTGAATATCATTAAAGCATCTTTAAAGAGTGGAGGAATTCCATCACGTGTCCATTGTAACTGTTCACGTGTAGCTCTGGAAAGGGATAGTGGAAGATCTCCACTTCTTAAAGCAGTATTAATTGTTTCCAGATTATCAAAGATGAAAAACAGAGTATCATATATGTAGAGCCAGCGAGTTTCCGGGATTGATGGAACCCTGATCTTGTATCTCGCTCTCATATCGTGATTCTTAAAGATAATGATAATCTGGTGAACTCTATTCATCAGTTCATTCAACAATGGACATTGCTTACGTGCGTGGACAATAGCATTGTTCAAGACGTGGTTAAGGCAACGAATGTACACGGTTTGTAAGCCAGGGAAAAGGGCTCCTTCTGGCCTCCAGTGGCAGAGTCCTTTAACCTGGGCTGGCAAACCATCTCCGACTACTCCAGCTACGTGGTTTTTATTAACCTTAAGAGAATCAAACCACGTATGGTAGTCCTCGTATGTCCAATTAGTCGAAATTGTTGTGTCGAAGAATTGGTGGCGATCTGTTTTGCCTGGATTGCACACACAAGAGAATAGACCATGACGGCTGCCGTGTGTTCCGCAGTCCAGGGAAATTGAGAAGATGCGGAATTCCTCGCAGAACTTTAGGCCCCGAGAGGAGTCTGTTTTGCCTAAAGTAATCAATGCCTCTCTGACACCGCGCCGTGTGAACTCAATGTCTGGGATTGTAAAGTTGATGCCCTGTTCGCGATTGACTTTATTTTTAAGCCATTTGGCGAAGCTCTCTAGGAAGCTTTTAAATGCTGGCTTCATTGTGGCATAAAGGCTTATATCTAGGCTCGCAATAAGCCTGGCAATGATCTCTTCTAACGAAGGATCATTACCAGAGCCAACTGCTTGCTGAGTATTCTCAACTTGGTGCTCAGCAGGAACGTAGTTGGGCATTGGGAGTAAAAATTTGCACTTATGATCTTTAAAATCATTTTTCCTGCTTTTTTTAATGCATCGCACGAACTGCCCTTGAACTAATGTTTCACTACATTCGGCACAGTATGTAAAGAGCCTTCCTTTGTCTGATTGATTAGGCTCATTCTCATAATAGCCGATCGTAGTGAAACATTTTTTCCACACTTTGTTTCCAATGTTTCAGGAGTTGGTGGATATTTCGTCTTCTTAAATGGAATCCACTCATCATATACATGAGGATCCCATGCAGTCATAATAAAAATAAAGCTTTTTGAATATATTCAATTTTTAAATGATATTTTCACGGGTTAAATATAAAATAAAGAATAAGATGTAAATTATTAAAATATTTAATTTTAAATTTTGAACCCGTGATAAATATTTTTTTGCATTGTTATTAATAATGAAAAATAAAGCTTATTTCAATGAAAATTGTTCTGCAAATTTATTTCACTTTTGACCTCACTTTTTCCGTAATTCAATTTTTTACTTTTAATATTTTAGATCTTCATAATATCATTTGAAAAATTAACCATATAAAAAAATCAAGTTATCAATTCACTTTTTCCGTAATTCAAAAATCAAAAATATAAATAATATATCTTTTTATCAAATATTATTATTATATTCTATGAAAAATGAGGTCCGGAAATTTTGCGGATTCCCGTAACTCAATTTTACGGAAAAAGTGCAGTAAACTATTCAAAATACGGGAAAATTGGTGTAAACTAATGATTTTACGGTAAAATCACGGAAAGTCCCGGAAGAATATATGTGCCTATATGAAATTATACAAAAATGAATCAAACGCATTTTAAAAGATTGTTCTTGTATTATAAATGCTATTCGCAGATTTATTAGTTGAAGAAAATTACCAAATTTTTGCCGATTTACAAAAAATGATTTACAAAGCATATTTTTATAAGGCTTAAAAACTCTTTAAAATGTGACCGGTGACGGAAATCCATGGTAACCAACCGCGGTTCCCGTTTGGACTGCCATAAAAATTTGTCTTTTTTCCCCATATCTCATATGAATATTTTGGATTATTATGATAATTTATTTTTAATGACATATTTCATGTTATTCATATAATGGTTTGTTTTAGGGAATGAATGAGAATATATTTATTTAAAAAAAGAGAAAAGGTATTAGAATATATTTTTATTTGAGCGTATTTAAAAGGTTCTATTTCAAAAACTTTATGTAGTTTGCTTTTGTAAGCAACGTAAAACAACATCTTCAAGTTATTTGTTGCAATTCGGGGATTAATCGAGAATTTTTGCTGTATATTAGTTATAAATTTGTTTTTAGTAGATAAATTCGTCATGTTCCCGTTTGTAACTCATTTTGTTTTTGCTTTATTGATGAAATTTCAATTTGTTGAGTGAATATCGACAAATTTGTTAAATCTTGTTTTAAGCGCAGCAGCAATATTTAGAGTCTATTAATCATATCTAGACTTTCAGTATTTTGCATTATTTTTATGGTTGAGGTTAAAACAATCGCCTAACTAAGTAACGCACGTATGTAAAATGACTTTTTCGCGAAAACGGTCTTGCAGATTTTTATGAGAGTAAGATATCAATATATACAACAATTGAGGATTAATCTTATTGCAGTGGCTTACGATTTTCATCGTTCAAAGTATCGTGGCAGATTATTAAATTTTAAGGTATACAATTTCCATTGTAGAGCTTTATATTTTGAAAGAATAGAACGATTGGATATATTCTTATTAAGTATAAATGACATCGATTTTAAATTGCATATATGTCAACACTGTTTCTGAAATTAATGTAAATACAAAGTAATAAATTACTATGCATTATGGCATTCCAAACGGGAACCGCGGTTGGTTACCATGGATTTCCGTCACCGGTCACATTTTAAAGAGTTTTTAAGCCTTATAAAAATATGCTTTGTAAATCATTTTTTGTAAATCGGCAAAAATTTGGTAATTTTCTTCAACTAATAAATCTGCGAATAGCATTTATAATACAAGAACAATCTTTTAAAATGCGTTTGATTCATTTTTGTATAATTTCATATAGGCACATATATTCTTCCGGGACTTTCCGTGATTTTACCGTAAAATCATTAGTTTACACCAATTTTCCCGTATTTTGAATAGTTTACTGCACTTTTTCGTAAAATTGAGTTACGGGAATCCGCAAAATTTCCGGACCTCATTTTTCATAGAATATAATAATAATATTTGATAAAAAGATATATTATTTATATTTTGATTTTTGAATTACGGAAAAAGTGAATTGATAACTTGATTTTTTTATATGGTTAATTTTTCAAATGATATTATGAAGATCTAAAATATTAAAAGTAAAAAATTGAATTACGGAAAAAGTGAGGTCAAAAGTGAAATAAATTTGCAGAACAATTTTCATTGAAATAAGCTTTATTTTTCATTATTAATAACAATGCAAAAAAATATTTATCACGGGTTCAAAATTTAAAATTAAATATTTTAATAATTTACATCTTATTCTTTATTTTATATTTAACCCGTGAAAATATCATTTAAAAATTGAATATATTCAAAAAGCTTTATTTTTATTATGACTGCATGGGATCCTCATGTATATGATGAGTGGATTCCATTTAAGAAGACGAAATATCCACCAACTCCTGAAACATTGGAAACAAAGTGTGGAAAAAATGTTTCACTACGATCGGCTATTATGAGAATGAGCCTAATCAATCAGACAAAGGAAGTCTCTTTACATACTGTGCCGAATGTAGTGAAACATTAGTTCAAGGGCAGTTCGTGCGATGCATTAAAAAAAGCAGGAAAAATGATTTTAAAGATCATAAGTGCAAATTTTTACTCACAATGCCCAACTACGTTCCTGCTGAGCACCAAGTTGAGAATACTCCGCAAGCAGTTGGCTCTGGTAATGATCCTTCGTTAGAAGAGATCATTGCCAGGCTTATTGCGAGCCTAGATATAAGCCTTTATGCCACAATGAAGCCAGCATTTAAAAGCTTCCTAGAGAGCTTCGCCAAGTGGCTTAAAAATAAAGTCAATCGCGAACAAGGCATCAACTTTACAATCCCAGACATTGAGTTCACACGGCGCGGTGTCAGAGAGGCATTGATTACTTTAGGCAAAACAGACTCCCCTCGGGGCCTAAAGTTCTGCGAGGAATTCCGCATCTTCTCAATTTCCCTGGACTGCGGAACACACGGCAGCCGTCATGGTCTATTCTCTTGTGTGTGCAATCAAGGCAAAACAGATCGCCACCAATTCTTCGACACAACAATTTCGACTAATTGGGAGATATAAAAATTGCTCACATTTGCTCACATTTTGGCACTTTTTTTGTACGTTTGTCAAAAAATTGTGAGGAAGATCTCACAAAAATAGTCAAAATGTGAGCAAATTTTGAGAAGTGCTCACATTTTGACATACGATTATTTTCATACGTTTTTTTGATGAATTCTAATAAAACTTCATTACCACTTTCAGAACGAAGCGTAACTTTTCAGCACGTAACGCTCTATCATGTGTAGTGACATATTATTCAAAAAAACTCAGATTGCTTATCTTATAATAACAATTTCATTAGAAAAAATGCACGATTTCACGCTAAAACTTTGAAGCAATTCTTAAATTCGGATAAAAAATCGATATGTATTACACTTTAAACTTCAAAAAATGGTTCAAAATTTAGACTTAGTTTATCTTAACAATATAGCAGATTTTAAGCCGAACAAGTAGGAGTAATAGAAATAGCTCTTGAAAATAATTACAATTAGTAATATGTAAGTCAAAGTTCGAGTATTCTAATAAATAAACGTTCCGGATTTTCTTTACTACAAGAATCAATACTTAATATATAGAAGCAACAGTAAAAACTTATTAGAGATTCAAAAAGAAAGTTGACTAAAGAGAATCTTTTTATATAAGTAATTTTATTTTTTTGAAATACGAGATCGAATAAACATGTATTTTATTTTATTACTATAATAATACGTTTTTACATAGTAAGAAAGTTTAGAGACTGAAATGAAATTAAAAATTGAGAAAAAAATAAAGCTTTTCTATAAAAATTCATATTAATATATAGTATAATGATATTACAATTTATTGATAGTTGTGTTAGAAAAAAGGTACATTCACTATTTTTGACAAAATTTTAAATTTTCATGGGGTTGTAAATCTTATAATAACTAGATGAATAAGGAATAAATCCCAGTATGATGTGCATCATTATATTAAACACTATATGTAAGGCTGGTGA